ACAACATCTTTTTCATTAGGAGTGGCTTCTCAGCCCTCAAGTGGTAGGAGTAGGGCTAATTCTAAAGGTGTGAATTGTTTAATGGTTTAATTAACATCTATTATTCATAGGTTCATCTCCTCAACCCTCTATTGGTACACGTGGTAAATCTAAAGGTACATCTAGTACTAATTTAAAGGTATAAATTGTGACCATAATTGACAAAAGGGACCTTATGGCGGGTAGTGAAATTTGTCTTTCTAGCCTAAAAATCCAACTTCCTGAGCCCCATTTATCATAAAATTACTCCACAGGATGCAAAAAGTTACCATGAAACTTTTAGAAACAATGATTGTCTAACAAAGCACTCACAGGTTGATATTTTCCATTATAACAATCAATTTTAAAATCCGCCATAAGGGCCCTTTTGTCAATTATGGTCACAATTATGTAATGGTTTAATGATTAACATCTATTATTGATAGGTTCACTCCTCAACCCTCAATTAATCAGATAGTCGGACATGCTTCCAAATAATTTTAAAATTATTTTTTAACAATAATAAGTTATAAGAGAGTTATTTTCGAGAGAAATAACATTCTTTTGAGCAATACCATGCTCCCTTTGGAGCACAACTTATCCCTAAACATTCATAATGAAACCATTCAGTTTCACAAAGTACATTATCACACGCAATCATTTTCCCGATATCTTTTCCACCACACCAACAGTATCCTATTAATAAAGACAGTTGTAATTGAAATTTGTACTATTACATACATTTGTATAAAATATTGCAATGCAAGCTATATAATTTTTGCATGCATCAAAGTTGTTATATACCAGTTCCCTATATCTGCCTTAATAAACAGAAGGGCAGATTCTAATGAAACACATGTACAAGCAATGAACAATTATAAATGGATACCTCCAGAGCTTTCATCAAAATCAGAAGCAGTGTCTAAGATAACCTTTATTAATATCTTATCCATTTTACACTATCTCCTGTACCTTGAGAGCTGTCTTGTATAGTACAAGTAACAGATAATAAATGACTTGGAGATGAACCTACATATATTAAATAAAGCTTGAAGCTGCCTACTAGAATGAGAGCTAGGTATATGTATAGTTGACCATGCCTGGACCAGCTAGCTAAATACTATTACATTACTGTGCAGTGAGACTGCTTACAATTATCTATAAGTATGCATGCTTAGTCAATGCTATACATGCATACATTATTTTGCTGGCTACGCTCCCCCCTTACTCTTAATTTATGTCATATTTTTTTTAGTCAAATACACATGTACATGTACCTTTACAATTAGTAATACCTTTTTAACTAAATGCAACATATCTGGTAGTTGAAGCTTGAAGAGATGATCCTGTCCATAAAAGGTGTTAGTTAGTAATGACACCATAAAATTATTCATACCTTTAGAATTAGTACCAGATGAACCATTAGATTTACCACGTGTACCAATAGAGGGTTGAGGAGATGAACCTATCAATAATAGATGTTAATCATTAAACCATTACATAATTCATACCTTTAGAATTAGTACTAGATGTACCATTAGATTTACCATATGAACTAAGAAAGGGTTGAGGAGATAAACCAATTATATAGGCGGTAGCCTATATGTAGGGTTGAGGTTGATTTTTCAAGATGGCGACCAAATTTATAATTTTCAAATGATTATAACTCTTCTATCTTACGTTGTACAGCTTTATAAATGGCTTAGATGAGCTCTCCTTCACTGAGCGATTCTCCTGGTACCTTTAAAGTGGACTGTAATGTAGCGGAAGGATTTCTGTATAATAGGCCCAAATTCAAATTTTTGCAAAATTCTTCAGACTTTTTCTTCTTTCATCTTCTTCTATGCACCGGATAATCTTTTAAACTAGAAAACAGCTCAAGTTGACTTTCACATCATTCCTTGGAGCGTGAGTCAAGGACTACAAAGGTGCTTTCCATATCTTAATTCATATTAGATTATAAACTAGTTATTTGGGCGTGATATCACCGCCCCTTAAAATTAGTCGCCATTTTGAAACTTAATGCGCATGCTCAGAGTTGCTATAGTGACTGACTGACTGCACTGGGTGAATTCGCTCTATTCTTCTCTTTCTCTGCATACTTGTTTGTTCAGCAGTGCACAGACTAAGTGATTAACAGTTCTTTTAAGAGCTAATACGTAAATTATTTTGAAATAACTCTAACAAATTAGGCTTCTTTTATCATAGAGCAAAATATAATCTTACAGAGCCGTCAGAGCGCAAGATAATTTACAGCTGCTCAGTTTTGATAATTTTGGACACCTGTACCTAAGCCAGATCACTAGAGTTGAGTGTATTTCATTATACTTCTGATATTGGATATATTGAGATAAGTCTATACAGTTATTTTTAAAATGATAAGCAGTAGTTTACTTGTACCTCCTGCATATATGTACTTGGTATTATGGTATTTATTTGTTGTGTTAATGTTAAGTGTAGTTGTGGTGCTGTTAGTTGTAAAAAAAGGAAGTAGGAAAAGGAAAACTGGGGCTAAATCCAAAAAAAAGTTCTCCAAGATATATGATAATAGAAAGGAAATGGAAACTTTTATATCTAAAAACAGGTCCTATGCTAGAGCTTACTACATAAGGCATTGTAAGAGGGTCAAAAGCAAAGCCAGAGTTGCCTATAATATAAGTAAAAAAATAAGCTTGGGTAATCAAAAAAATTTCATGCATTCAACCCAGGTTACATTTTGCAAAAATGTAAAAATTGGTATAGTAAAAACAAGGACTGCAAAATTTTAAAATCAACTTGCTATTCTAAAACAAATTATATGAGTAATCCAGACCAAAAAAAAGAAGCCTCTAGAAATCATTATCAAAAAAATCCACAACCAAAAAAAGAAGCCTCTAGAGATCAGTATCATAAGAATCAACAACCAAAGAAAGAAGCCTCTAGAGATCAGTATCATAAGAATCCACAACCAAAGAAAGAAGCCTCTAGAGATCAGTATCA